TGACTATTAGATCATCAGTGTGGCAGAAATTCAATTTATTTTCCCCGTTGCATGCATAATACGTACATTTGGATTTCGTCTTCGTCACCGATCATAATATATATATATAGTAATATTCAAAGAAAGGTAAGCAGAATATTCAAAGTTTGTTGAAGGCATTGAACACCTCACAACATTAATCTAACGTACGACGTTCACACAACAACCAAATTCGTAGAACATATGCGATTGAGAGAGTCAACTCCCACGACGACACTGTACTGTCGCGGTGGCTATTTCGGGCAAGCAAGCTAGCCCTATATTTGCGACAACTAATTACCCCATTAAGTATTTCTTGCGTAAGATAATCCACAATTTCCCATTAAATTAAACAATAATTAGGAAGAATGCATGCATGCATGCATGCACTTATGTATATATATATCACGGCCGCACCAGCGCAGAGAAATGTGATGTTTAACGTTAATATTCTTAATTGTCCATAATCAAACTAATCGAGACAGCTGTCCAGATTTTGCTCTACGTGTCTGGCATATGGTTGCTAACCTGGATTTCTTAACCATTAAATTAGTGATTAGCAGTCGTCAGATGAGATTTGAAAATTTGAGTTGTCTTCTGGATGTCGAACAGGGAACACAAGCAAAGTTGAAGTTTATCATCTACTTAAAATATTTCGTTCCTATCTTGATTGTTACCATTAGTAAATTTTTTTAATCATATATTATTCATTTTCAACGTTGTGACATGGTATAAAGTGTTGAAATGAGTTTATAAATTCATTAGGTTGAATACTTGAATGGTATAAAGGTGGAAGTTTATACCAAACAAGTTAAGTTCATCTCGTAATTAATTAAAAATTGGTTATATAAACTTTAGTATTATTTTTATACTCAAGAAGAAAAATAGCAAGATACAAATATCATGGTCAAGTCATTTTTTGTATTTTATGGTGACATGAGAAAGCAATAGTTATTATTTAAAGGAGTGTTATGCTGTTCAACCGTGTGTACCATACAAGGTGCACACGAAATTGGATCTATAATTTCTATACTATAGATTCATAATTTATATATTGTAGATTCATAATTTCTAAATTGTAGACTCATAATTTCTATACTATAGATTCATAATTTCTATACTTTAGATTCATAATTTATAAACTGTACAGTTCTCAAATTATGAACATATAGCTCAGTGATTTGTGAATATAGAGTTCAACAATTGAGAATATGAACATAGAGTTTTGTAATTGTGAATATAGAGTTCAATACTTATAAATCTATAGTATATAAATTATGGATCCACACGGTTGCACAACATAATTTGCCTTATTTAAAGGTGTGCACATGATAAACACAAGACACAGTACAATTCCTGTATAATAGTTTGGAATGATGTTGGCAAGAATCGAAGTCGTGATCTTTTTCACCCACTTGGATCACCACTCATTCGTGAATAACGTTTTCTTCTACTTGTCACTTTGTCAGAGCTAGGGATGGATGGTGTTTGACATTGTAATGGAATGGCTAATTTCAGAGGAGTGAGAATATGGTATAAAAAAGCGTTTGACCAGAATGCTGCGGTTAGCTTAGAGGTGGATGAATCAAATACCAGAATTTCAGCGACTTTGAAATTTTTCAAGCAAGTAATAGAAGATGGATTGTATATAACTATATCGCTTACTTCCTCTAATATATGCATGGCGCAAAGCTGAGTCAAAAATGGATTTCCATTTTCCAGTTATCAAAACCGACAGTGTGGTTCGAATGATTTTTTTTTTTTTTTACTAAATTACAATTTATATTTTAAAATTATCCGCAATTCTAAGTTCAATTTTTCAATTTTTTTAAAAAATAAAATCCTAAAACACTGTTAATATAAAATATTTAGAAATTTTAATTATTATTATTATTATTATTATTATTGTTGTTGTTGTTGTTGTTGTTGTTGTTGTTGTTGTTATTTTGGACTTACACTTAGTTTTACCAATATTAAGTTGTCCTATCTTATCAAAATTTTAATACTAATCAAAGGCCACATAATTCTCTTACTTCTTTTAGATTGCAATTTTAAGAGTCATTGACAGTTTGTGACTTAGTGTTAAATAAAAAATATTTTAAATTTGTTTTACATTTTATTGTTTGGATTTAATTAGAACTAGGCAACCAACGATTATGATTCTTGAATTTTATAAATTGAAGTGGCCGGAATCGTTTGTACGGTTCTGATTTTGGTTTAGTTTAAATTGGATTGTGGTTAGTCCTAGCTCCATTCGATTTTACTTAGCACTTGTTAACTTATAAATCTATTCCTGGTTATTGCAATTATAATGAATTGTATGTATAAAAGTAAATATAAATGTAGGTATTAAGTTTAATTTAATTTGACCAAGTTATGAGTTATTTGAAAATTAAACAATGTTTTTAATCCGTGGCTCATGCGTATACATACATAGTTGGTCGGATTTTGTGGCATCCCTAATTAATTTAACCACGAATATGAGTTGTTAGGGAAGATTGCTCAAAGTCAAATTTTGTTTCGTTTATTGTAGAAAATTGCACCCTACCATGAATGCATCCGGAGGAAACCTATTTTTCTATGTTTTACATGTATCTTCCTTTTATTCTTGATTAATTATTAATTTTAGGTAAAAACGACTTCTTTTTTTTGAATGCTACTAGCTCTATTACATTGTAGTATATGTTCATATACTTTCTCCTGAGACTCAAACTTACAACCTTCCAAATGGAAGTCCAACCCGGATACCATTAGACCACATAGTCCTGGTAGGTAAAAATGACTTAATTTTTAAATAAGTAAAATTTTTTGTTAAGATATATATATATATATATATATATATATATATATATATATATATATATATATATATATAATACTTTACTAGCAGGTTGGAAATTAAACAACTTCTGAAAAATTAGAAAAATTTTGACAGTGACCAAAATTTTTGAAAATTTTAAAAGAATTTCGACCACTTTTTTTTTATTTTTTTTTATTTTTTTTATATATGGTTAAAAAAAAGTATTGAAAATAACATATATAAAATGTTGTGGAATAGTAACACTAAAAATATTAATGAACAAGAATAATATTGATAGTGCCAACTATCATGTAGTGTGATGGCATTCTGGTAATGGGTAACAGTGGATGGAGGCATAGATATTTTGGATTAAAAATATTTAAGAAAGTATAGAATATGGATAGATACTATCTTATAAAGAATTATGATTATTTTATTAAAAAAAAGAATAATATTGATGGATTATGAAATAATTTAATTTGTAGATGATGAATTAATTATATTATTCTTTTCAAAAGGTTGAACTCCAATCCTAAGAGTCTTTCCATCTCGGCCGATCCGACAGAGCATGTAGAAGGATATAAATCATGATAACTCAACTGAACATAAATCATAGAAGTTAGATTTTTACTTACTGTGCACAAGGAATCCTCACTTTGAGAATGAATTAATTATATTATCAATGTGGGGGAAGAAGTCATATGGCAATAAGTAAAAGTGTCCACGTTGAGGGCCATGTTTGCATGCAATCAGTGGTTGATAACGAAGCTGCTCCATATCTAATACTCCAACCACACACTCAGATTACCTTTGTCCTCGGGGTACGTGTATGGTTAGAGATTGGCTGACTTCATAACATCCTCAATTGCCCTCAACTTGACGTATATAACCATAAATTATAAGAAAATTAATTATAAAAGACATTAAATAAAAATCCCAAACCAAAAAATATTAATTCAAATGAAAATGTTGGAGTGATTTAAATATGAAATCAAGAGTTTTAATTGGGTGTATGATTTACATATTAGATTACTGGTTATAATATAATATCGGGTTATGCTATATTTTAAATTATTATATAATAATGAACGAAATGATGAAATTAAAAAAAGGCCTTTTAGGTTAGAAAATATAATATGAAAGGAAAAGTGAAGAATAAAGGAATTAAAGGGTTAATTTCTAGATATAATTGGTAGGGAAAATCGATCTAACAACCATACCCACTAATCATCACTCTAAGATTATGTGCGAAGACTTGATACCAAAGGTCAAAACGATTAGTTACTTAATTGCCCCATGTCTTCTGTCTTTATATATGATGACATTAATATTTCTTTAGAGACTATTTGTTACTTTTGAAAATGTATGCCCGAAATAATTTTGTTGGAAAATTAATAAGTATTTTCATGAAAACATAAAAATTAAATAGTTTTTTTTTTTGTAATAATTTATTGCTGTAAAATGTTAAAATTAAAAAAAATTATTTAAAGAAGTTTTTTACATCAATTTTTTTAGAAAATAAATTATACCTTTAAATGTCATTTTGCAGATAATTAGTTATCAGCTAACAAGTAACAACCAATTCACGGCTGGAAATTATGGAATTTCCGACTACCTGAAAATGATCTTAAATCAAGTCGAAAGTCTTGTTCCGACCACTTTTGGTATCCGGAAAAATCATTGTTGCTATTTCCGACCACTTTTTGCTTTCGACTTGATGTAAGATCACTTTCAGGTGGTCGGAAATTCCATAATTTCCAGCAGTGATTTGCCAAACATCTCTTTCTTTCCACAACCAACTAATGCTATCAGTTAATTAAAATCGCTAACTCAATCCATTAACAGCTATCTACTAACAATTATTTGCCAAACACCCATATATATTAAACTCATAAATATTTTGAACTCAACTCCCCAAAATACTTTGAGAGACTGGAGAGGAGAGTTGGGGGGGAGGGGTAGGGGGAGGGGGAGAGGGGGGGAGGGGTGGGGGGATTGAGGGCGGCACCAAATACTATTGACTTGAAAAATTTGATGGCCTTGGTATCTATAAATATGATGGTTGTATTGTTGTATGGACCTACATCTTTCACTTTTCTTAGAAGAAAAAAAAAAGTTCAATTTGTCTTTCTCCTCAGACACAACGTAACTACTACAGCCATAATCACATTTACCTCTCTATCTCCCAATTAACAACCTACAGATCAGAGCAATGGGGAGAGCACCAGTTGACAAGAGTGGACTGAAGAAAGGTCCATGGACTCCAGAAGAAGATCAAAAACTCATTCACTATATTCAAGCTCATGGACCTGGCAACTGGGGAGCCCTACCCAAGAATGCTGGTACCTATATACTCATCTCATCTTTAACTTATCTTCCAACTCTTCTCCTTTAATTTGTTTTTTTTTTCTAACATCTATCATTAAACAAAATCTGCAGGGCTTCAGAGATGTGGGAAGAGCTGTCGTCTTAGGTGGTCCAATTATCTGAGACCTGATATTAAGAGAGGAAGGTTTTCTTTTGACGAAGAAGAAACTATCATCCAGCTTCACAGTGTTCTTGGAAACAAGTAAGATTCTTTTTCATATTTATGTTTGGATGACCAAGGAAATCTAGTGTCTGTACTGGGTAAATTCGATCTGTCAATCAGTCTGAATTACTTATAGCTAACTTGTTCAAACTAAGTCAACTGATCAACTTGACTATGATTAATTTTTATATTTTTTTGGTTTGAGTGTACTGATCATCATGTGCATTGTGACTCTTGTCGATGTCAGGTGGTCGGCCATAGCGGCTCGCTTGCCGGGAAGAACTGACAACGAAATCAAGAACTACTGGAACACTCACATAAGGAAAAGGCTTCTCCGGATGGGCATTGATCCCGTGACTCATACCCCCCGCCTGGATCTGTTAGACCTTTCTTCAATTCTGGGTTCTACTCATCAGCTAAACTTTCCCAGCTTGCTTGGGTTACAAGCAATCCTAAATCCCGAGCTTCTACGACTTGCAGCAACTAATCTTTTCACATCACAAAACGATAATATTAATCCAGACCTTTTGTCAAACCCCCATCTTCAAAATCCTCAGACGATGTTGTTAAGAAAACTTCAAGAAAGTCAACTGTTGATGAATGCCCCAAACTTCCAGGCTAACAGTGATCATCATCATCAGTTCCAACATCCACTCCCACCTTGTACGACATCAGATAATAATGTTTCCTCCGCATGTTCTGATCTTCCCATGCAGCCGTACAGTACGATGAACTCGTCGTCGAATCTGCAGAACGGACACGTGTTTCAAGAAAGCTTGGTGGCCGCAAATGGAGGAAGCCTTCTTCAAACCTTAGAAAACTATGGCGGCGGCTGTTTTGAATCCAATCAATCGCTGAGCAACAGCAGCAACCAAAGCGGACTCGAGAATTTCAGCTTCGATTCCGTGCTGTCCACGCCTCTGAATTCGTCGTCCACGTTGGTGAACAGCGGCGGCGCTAACACTACTGAAGATGAAAAGGAGAGCTTTTGCAGTAATCTAATGAGATTCGACATTCCAGACAGCCTTGACTTTGAAGATCTTCTGTAAATATTTCTCCAGAACACTTCAATAATTCCTAGTATGGGATGCTTTAATTTTTTAGTGTCTGTATTTCATTCGTTCTTGTTTTTTGGTTTTTTTTACATTGTTAGGTAACATTGAATGGCGCCATTGTTATGTTTTTGTGTGGACCATTCAAAGTCATTAGCACTTTAATTCTTAGCTAGCTAGCTAGGTTTCTGGTGTTACTGCATACTTCATAGGTGTACTCATTTGTCCTAATTACTTCATTATCTTAATTACATTTCTTGTAATTTGAGTTCTTTAGTTGAAGATCTACAGGGTATATGTCATACAAATAACTTAAATTTTGTAGCTGATATGAAATACATATTATAAATGGAGCCATGGAGGTGTTTGTTAAATGACTTATCAATCATTTTTATCTAATTTGACTAATTCCAAGTCAAATAGCTAAAACAAGTGTTTGGTAACTAACAACAAGGCTCCAAGTAGCATTTTAATATCTGCAAGAAGTCTTTCACATACTAAAGGGTGTGTTTGGTTCACACATGGGAATTGAAATGGGAATCAAATATTTAATAATGGTAATGAGTTTTGGTGAAAGTATTTTGCATGTTTGGTAGTAGAGTAGAATTTGAATGATTACAAATATTGATGTTTGGTTATATATGTATCACCCTATAATGAGAATAAAAATTCTAAAAATATAAAAATAAAAAATCAAGGCAATTGATCATAATATAATGACATCCAAAGCACCTATATGAACAAAAAAAAAAAATCATCAGTAAGATGGAATGATGCCCATTTTTAATTAAGAAATAAGTTTTTAATTAAAAGGGTAATCAAATCTTATAATTGTGTTTTTCAAAAACTGTCGACCCAATACTAACTATGATTTTGATTATTATTGTGTAAAACTGTAAACCCATAAACCAAACACATCCTAACTCCTTCCTTCGGAACAACACTAGCCACTAAAACTTCTGGTAAATTCTACTTTTGGTGAAGAAATTGGAGAAAATGATGCCATGATAAAGATCCAAGATTTCAACTTTGTTCTTGATGCAATCTCAGATTATCTTTGATTGGTTGCATGTCTTTTTTTTTTTTTTTTTTTTTTTTTTTTTTTTGAAAACAACAACCCCCAGTTCATTTTTCTTCATCATTGAGATTATTATAAACTAAACTTTTTAAATACATGTTAAATAACTAAGGCTATGGATTGAACAAATTAAAATATTTGAACTCATTTGAATCATCAATAATTCATGAATTAAGAGATCAAACTAAATTTATTATATGGACAATGAGGGGTAATGGACCTTAAAAAAAATGAAAGAAAATCCGAAAAGATGATTGGGTGATATAGACTCAATCTTTTTGTTATGAGTACAGGGTGGAATATAATTGAAGATTAGATTGTACAAGATAAGGTAATGATATGATAGAGAAGATTGAAGAAAGGAGTTGGTTGAATGATTAAGAGGTACGAGGAAGTTCAATACAAAATGAATTGGTCCGGTGAACGACAACCCCACTGTTTTCATTGACTTAATTGTTTGGAGTTTACTTTAATTTTCAACTCATCACATTGGGTTAAAGTTGTTGCTTTCACACTGACCATTCACATTTCAACATTATATAGCCGTCAGCTGTTGATATCAATCGTAACGTAGTAGTTATATATTGCTTGCAGCTTAGCAGCCCTATGAGATCATACAATCACAGCCAGCGTGAGTTGACACTGGATGCAGGCCGGTGTTTATATGTATCTTTCCTGGAAATTTCACCCATTTTCGTGTAGCTGAGTTACACAGAAGACGATGGATGGAGGTGGATAATTTTTTTTTGTTAAATTCGGTAACTGCCACATCAGCATGTTATCAGGTTAACAAATTAATTTAGGTTGAATTACATTATTTTGCATTGTTGAGAAACTAATTGTAGTTTTTTGTGGGGGTAGGTTGTTGTGCAATCATTATTACATGGACCATGGTCCACACAATTGTATAAACCATAAATAAAAAGTACTTTTTTAATATATTAAGGGTACATTATTTATGTACGTAAGATACATTTTTTTAAAGTACATTTTTAATATACTAAGGGTACATAATTTTATATAATATACTTTTAGTACAAAAATAATGTACCTTCAATACAAAAATAATGTACTTTTAATATATTAAAAATGTACCTGATATTCATGGTCCACATAATTGTGTGGACCAATTTGCCATTGCTGTGTAGTTGGATGCTCTATTTGATCTTGGGAAAATTTTAAAAAATACCCTTCTATAATATGTCAATTATCAATTTCACCCATGAATTATGAGTAGTGTAAATATTGCCCATCAATTATCAAAAAGGTACACATATAGCCCCTCCCGTAACGGACATGTGGTTCTCCGTTAGTGTACGACATCGTTAAGTCGGAGCAAATATATAATTTAGTTGATTTTTTCTTCCCTCGATTCGAAGTACCAGCAATGGACAGCAGTGGGGAACCACATATCCGTTACGAGAGGGGCTATATGTGCATTATTTTGATAATTGAGGGACAACATATACATCACTAATAATTCATGGGTGACATTGATAATTGACATATTATAGAGGGACATTTTTTACAATTTTTCCTTTCATCTTTATTCTTTTCAAAATTAATATGGTATTAGCATAAGCTTCTCGGCAAATTATGCCATGGACCCGTGTCCACATTGAATTGTGGACACGGGCCCAAAACGACGTCGTTTTTAAAAAAAAAACGCGTCATTTAGTTAAAAAAAAAAAATTCGCGCGCGTTTTGCCGTTAACGGCGTTATTTTTTTTTTGGATTATGAATGTATAGTTATGCCGTTATGAATGTACAGTTATTCCGTTATGAATATACAGTTATGCAATTATGAAATTATGAACACAAAGCTCTAACATTATGAACTTACAATTATGAACATATATAGTGATAAAATTATGACCATGGAGCTTTAAAATTGTGAATATAGAGCTTCGAAGATTATGAATGTACAGTTATGGAGTTATGAATATACAGTTATAGAGTTATGAATCTACAGTTATGGAGTTATGAATCTACAGTTATGAGATTATGAATCTACAGTATGGAATTATGAATGTACAATTATTGATCAAATTATGAACAAAGAGCTCTAACATTATGAACTTACAATTATGAACATATAGTGATAAAATTATGAACATAGAGCTCTAAAATTGTGAACATAGAGCTTCGAAAATTACGAATGTACAATTATGGAGTTATGAATGTACAGTTATGGAGTTATGAATGTACAGTTATAGAGTTATGAACGTACAGTTATGGAGTTATGAATGTATAGTTATTAACATATAGTAATAAAATTATGAACATATACTCTTACAATAAAGTGGTCTGAAATTAAAAAAAAAAAAAAAAAAAAAAAAAAGGAAATAACAGTGCCTAACGGCACTGTTACCCGTGTCCAGCAAGCATGCTGGACACGGGTCCAATGCATAACGATTGAAGCTTCTCATTTTACACTTGACGGGCTGACCCACTTTAGTTATTGGTCTTAACCTCAGCATTTATTTGGAGTTTGGGCTTATATATATCCCACTATTTTGTTTGAACCTTTTTATTTTCACCCGAATGGGCCTAACCAAATACTTCTTCCATCCCAAAATACTTCACTCAAATTATTTATAATTTATTTTTAAAAAATAATATTTCATTTAATGTTAGTGAATAAAACTTATATATTTAAAAAAAATTAATAAAAATGATCAATGGATCAATTCTTTACCTGAAGTTGACCTACATCCTTGCAACATGATAATGACACTACGGTAGTGCCAATTCCATTATAGGCCACATTATTATTAATGTTTAAGAATTATAAATTTATACCCTGCTTGGTAAATGGGTGTTAGCTGATAATATACAAACTAGGGTGGGTTTTTCTCACCCTCACTCTCTTTCTCTCTTCAAACGAAAAAAGTATAGGTTGTAATTATTGAAGAGGTGAAGAATTGTGCAAGTGACGGTAGAATGTCTGGCCATCTCTTATCCCTTTCATACGTACGTTCAACATGTGGTAGTAGTTGATGACCTTTGATTCCTTGGCCTCTTCTTTTGGCCTTGTTTAGCAAGCACAAAAAAGGTACTCAATCATGCTCCTTTCTTACCCACTTTTCATTCTTTTTTGTCCATTATTTTCAAATAATTAATTTTGCATTTCTATTCACCCCACTCTTTTTTATTCCTAATTAAGGTTGATTTTTGTTGTTGTTGTCGTGGTCGTCAATTTGTGTCCTAATTTATAGGTAAATTGGATTAATGTTATCATATATTCTCTCACACATTAACCCAATAGCTCGGTGTAGTTGTAAACCGACTACTACTATTACTAACTTTGAGTTAGATTTTCTTTGAATATGAGTACAATTTGTAATTCAAATATTTATCTTGTGCACAACCTTAAATAATGAATGTGAGTTTTTCGGGTCGCAAACAAAAATTGTTATTGAGTTAATACCATATGAGGTCCTCCGAGTATAATGATTTTGACACATTTAGTTATAAACTTTCAAATTGACCATCTGTGGTTCTTCGAATTTCAAATTTAACAATTCATGGTCCAAGTTAATTACCCATGGTCCTTCAATTATTAAATTTTAACCAACCATGGTCCTTTCAAGGGACCACAGCTGGTTAAATTTCAAATTTTGAAAGACCAAGGGTGGTTAACTTGGATTTAAATTTAAAAGTCGAAAGACCACAGATGGTCAATTTGAAAGTTTAAGACTAAACGTGACAAAACAGTTATACTCGGAGGACCCATGTGGCATTAACTCAATTGTTATTTAACACACCCTAATTTTGTCAATTGTAAGTTTTGTTTCACCAAACTATAATATATAGAGAGTTGGTTGTTTGACTGTTGGTTCTCGCAGCTGTATGAGAGGCGCTGCAATGGCGGAAGGTACGTTAAACATTAAACAAACAGTGCTACTGTCACTGACAAATTACAATATATATTTGATGATACAGATTTGAAAATACGTGTCGGATTCTTTCAGTCTGCTTTTACCACCACCACCATCATCGCTACTTTTTCACGATCGCTAGCTTTTGGTGCTCAATTACCAAAGCCACTTTCTAATTTTCTTTTCTTTTTTTTTTTTTGTTGTTTTTTGTTGAAAGTTGAAACACCATCTTTTGTTCTGTATCCCACAACATAAGATTGACACATCCCCTGCAATCCGTAAGAAATGAATCCGTTGAGATTCAACAACCCAAATTCTACTTCAATCGTTTCTCCTTAAACAATTATTATTTTTTCTTTTTAGAAAACGAAAAATAATATGTTATGGTCCATCATTGATCGAAGAAATGAGAGGAAAAGGAGTTCACAAAGTGCCAATTAGAACCCCTCACACATGACACAGCACAGTGCCTTTTGCCCTTTAACTTTCCGCCATTTCTTTCTGCACAAATAGTCCAATCTTCCCGCTGACCCCACTCTTCTCTCTGCTTATCCAAATTAATTACAGTAGTTTACTAGCTTCAATTATTGCACTCATCATCACTGCAATATAATGTCTCCATTTCAAATGCTCTTTGTGCTTTCAATTCTGAGGTTCCATACTTCTTAGTTGCTAATTAATGATGATGATTGCAATCTCAATTAGTTAACAGTGCTAAAGGTAATATGGATACACTAGAAAATAGAGATGACATATCTATATTTACATTTATTGTTCACGTCAAGATAAATTTAGATAAATGACTTTAATAGGTAAAATTAGAGAGCAATCCAGCTTGACGCAAGTCACTCTTAATCCAAGAGTGCAACATGCATAAGTCAACCTAGCATACACTGCTTAGACACTTAGGGTCCGTTTGGAAAGCATGAAAATGACTGTTGGAAAATATTTTCTGAAAAATGACTCATTTTTCAGAAAATATTTTCATTTTCCGTGTTTGGTTGCATTCTGAAAAATACAGGAATGAATGGAAACTAAGGAATCAAAGACAACGACGACAGCGGAGGCAACCATGTTTTGAGTGTTGGCGGAAAATGACTTATGCCAAATTTTGGCGTAAGTCATTTTTCACAAAAACGCCTACATTTTCCTCACGAAAAATGTGTTTTCCGTTGACTGGATTTTCCTACTGCATTCAAACACTAAAAACTCAAAAAATATTTTATAGAAATCATTTTTCGAGTTTCTAAACAGATCCAATGCAAATGAATTTAGTTATCAAATAATCTAAAATACTTATCCCCCATTCTCCCAACCTTATTGTTTGAATTATTATATCAATTAAATTGTCTTATAACTCCATCACTATCTTTTCCAAATGGATTTGTGGTGTAATCCATTATAAGATAACTCTCCCAAACACATGATACTTTAGAACAAGGAAGATGTATTATGAGTAAAATATTTGAAAATATTTTTTTTAAAAAAAATTGTATAGTGAGTAGGGATAGTGGGATACTAAGTGATGCACAGATCGAGGCAGATTCCTCTGCTACATTATTTTGGCTTCGTACACTTATACAAACTACAAAGTGAGTAAGAAGCGACCCAACACTTCTTCACTCTTCACTCCTCTCTTTCTAGTAAAAGCTGTGTCTTCCTTCTTTTTTAGCATCTCCTCATATTCATATTCCTCGTTTTTGAGTGTTTGCTTCGATTTCCAAGCAACTTCTTTTTCACTTTTCTACTTTTTATTTGATAAAGTAAACAGAAATCTGTTCTGTTCTGTTCTGTTCTTAAGCGGCGAAATGAGAGTCAAGTTTTCTGGAAAATCAATGAAGATGGAGGTTTATGTGTTGGTGTTTATGGCTTTCATGCTGTGTTTCTGCGGTGGATCCTTTGGTGGTTTGATTTCTCAGCGGGCGCAGCCATTGAATCCCGATGATAATTCCAATCCTAATACTGTTCCGGCGTTTCCTGTCCAATCGGAAACGCAGACGTGTCGGCTGGACTTGTCGGACGAGCTTTTTGGCGGCGTGAGCGCCGCCTGCGGGAGAGACCTCGACCGGAGCCGGTGCTGTCCGGTGTTGGCAGCGTGGCTGTTCGCGGCTCACGCGCGCACGGCGCTTCAGATCTCCGCCGCGGCTCCTCCGTCTGGGTCGGACCTCCCTATGGTCCCGGACGACAATCAGAAGTGCGTGAACTCGCTCCAGGGCTCGCTGCAGAGGCGCAACATTCACCTTCCCCAGCCCAACGCCTCGTGCGACGCCGTTTTGTGCTTCTGCGGCATCCGGCTCCACCAGATTACTTCCCTCACCTGCTCCGCCGCGTTCAACCTCACCGCCCCCCGCAACGCCACCCCAACCGCCGCGCTCGCGAATCTCGAGCGGAATTGCCGCAACGCTTCGTATTCCGGATGTACAAAGTGCCTGGGAGCTCTCCAAAAGGTCAATACCGTAATTTAATCCATTCACATTTCTGATTTCTTCCTAATTCCGAAATGAATTTATATTCCTTCTTCTACGTGTGCAGCTTAACGGCGGCGCTAAAAACGGAACACACAAAGTTGGAAACGGCGGAGGCGCAGCCTACGACAGCGATCGCGTCACGAAGATGTTCAATCGAGATTGCCAGTTAATGGGGCTGACGTGGCTGCTAGCGCGGAACAAGACGGCCTACATTCCGACGGTTTCGGCCGTACTGCGGGCCATAATGTACAGCGCCCACCCGCCGCACGACTCCAAATGCAGCCCCGACCAGGAGAACATGCCGTTGGCCGTCAATTCTTTACAGTTCCAGAAATCTGATTCATCTTCTTCATCGTCCTCAACTTCTTCTCTACCTATCTTCTTCCCAACTCTGCCTCTAATCATTCTTGCTGTTAATATTTTGTTCATTAATTATTATTAAAAAAAATCCTCTCCGGCAGAAATGGGGATAGGTGACAATGGTGCCCTCTGCTTTTTTTGTGCATGCTATGTGGGTGTGGAGGGGCTAGTTCACAACCGGGAACGTAATAGGGGTCTTTTTGTCTTTTTGTCCCCCGTGTAAATCCAGGCTTCCTTTTCTTTGGCTTCAAAATTGAAATGTTGCGCGCTACGCAATACCTCTTCCAATTTTATTCCGCGAATTTTCCTTTTACTATTACTCCAAAAAAAAATCATTTAACCTAACACATTACAATTAATTTATTGTTAAATTATAAAATTTTAATTAGTATTATTGTTTTCCAAATATACACAATACACTATAGAGGTTGGATTGTGCAAATAGGAGAAGCTTGTATAATATTGAATGCATGATTTCACCACTTTAGTTCTCGAGTCTCAATTTAGTTTAATAATGTCATTAACTTAAAATTTGTATTTACTTTAATACTCTGGAAGTAAAATAGCTAAATATGTAAATGAAATAATATGTCTAAATTATTATTAAAATAATAAGCGGTATCTACCCAACTTAAAATTTGTATTTACTTTAATACTCTGAAAGTAAAATAGCTAAATATGTAAATGAAATAATATGTCTTAATTATTATTAAAATAATAAGCGGTATCTACCCAATACATAATGATGGTAATTTCTTTGGTCATATACTATCACATTATATTATAATAATTGATTAATTATTTGGATAACAATTCAACGACTAGAACCTAGTGATGTGGGTTTGTTGTAAAGCAATTGATCTTTTTGGTAGTGTCTCGTAAGGGGAGATAGGGCAATTGGCAACCCAAATTTCGATTTTCGACGGAGTATGTTGGTCTTCGTAGCTTGGATTAAAGAGACATTGTTATTATTTGTTTGTTTTTTTCTGTGTTATTCATGGGGAAGAACAACGTCTTAGATCTAACACCAAACCTTGAAATTGCATCTTAGTAATTTAAAATTTATGAGCCACATGTACAAGAGAGGGAATCGCGGTTGAATGTTTGTCGGAAATTAATATCATGGATCAAGTCCATATAGTATTATGGATCTTGGATCAAAATGACGAGGTACAAAATTTATACTCCTAAGGTATAAAATTTCATAACACATTGACATAAAATATCATAACACGAGGCACATACATATGTTATATATTTACTTATATTTCAAATATGACTTATGTACATAATTTGTGTTCATAGGTACATAATTTCACAGACACAAAAGTTTATAACATAAGACAAAATTAATAATTTGTTTAAGATAAAGAATTCATATTTTTAAAGTACAAAATTTCATAACAGAAAGCACAAAAACTCACAACATAAGACACATACACCTGCATCAGGGTTCACAGTGGACCCTGGTCCATGGTATTTAGGCAAATTATGCCCTGGACCCGTGTCCACAATGAATTGTGGACACGGGCCCAAAACGACGTTGATGGGGTGAGGACCCCGGCCCAAGAGATAGGGGCCCAAAGAAAATAGATAGGAGAACTGGGCCCGCGTCGAGAGGAGCCCGAAGAGCAATTGGGCCGAGTCCGGGAGTCGGCCCAGGCCCAAGCACGGGGCCCAGTTCAGAGCTGCTAAGAGGAGTCCAGTAGGAGCTTAGGCCGAGACAAGGAGTCGACCGAGGCCCAAGCCTAGGAAAGGACTCGGCTCAAGGAGCCGTTGAGAGCATTGAAGAGGTTCGTTTAAAAGGGAGCCGTTAAGACATTGAAAGCAGGACTCGGTCGGGCCGTTACAAGCCTGGGAGAGCCGTTGGTCGACCGAGTAATGGCGTCCAACGGCTCCGTATCTTAATTAGCCTTGAAGTCGGCCATTAAAGGCCTTCAAGTCGGTAGAGGAGGAGCCACTATATAAAGGCTCCTCCATTCTTGTAAAAGGACAGACGATTGAACACCCAAAGGGGGAGAATACCAAAAAGTTCCAAGTACTAGCATAATTTCCGAAATAGACATACATTTTACTGAAAGGTGCACCCACCAGCCAAAGGTTGTGTTGGACCTCCTTGGGCCCGAAAACCCTAAAACCATCACTGGCACCGTCTGTGGGGATCGATACTAAGAGTTACGTGCCCTCTTGAGTGAGGCGAGTCTGAGGAACGACAATTAGAATCCCAGTCGAATTAGAAAAGCTCCAGACATGGCAGGAAGTGAAGAACAATCGAGCCGTCATGACAATGGACGGGAAGCAGACCTGAGAAGCCAGCTGAATCGGAGAAATGCCCGGAGCCGGGAAAACGAGACAACACCGCCGCCGACACCACCGATAAACCGACAATTGCCCCAAGTGCTGCTCACCCCAGAGCAGCTGCGTGCAATCGGACGCGCCTGCGCCGAAGCAAGCCTAGGAATGAGAGAACAGTCCATTACTCGCCAGCCGCAACGCGAGTTACAGCCGCTTCATAGGCCCGACAACCGGCAACAGAGCCGACGGGCCGAAAGCCAACCGGTACAGTCCGTTCATTCTCGGCTGGGTCCCAGCGTTGGGCGTCGGTTGGCAAGGGAACGATTGGGCCAGATGGAACCCAGTCATGCCCCGTTAGCCGCTCGCCATCGACAAGCTGCACGAGAGAAGAACCGTACCAAAAGAGCCAGGACTGAGACTCGTCGCGTGGAGCAACCTCCACGCAACCCCGACCAACCGGCTGAGTCTGAAATCGGTGAGAACACGGAATCCACAGGAAATCGCACCCAGGAGAGGGTCGAAGTGGCGAACTTAGTGCAAGAAGTGCGAAATCTGAAAGAACAGATGGAGGGGAAAACCAAATCCCCAGGACGTACGTTACTGACCGCCCTACCCTTCTCGGACGAGGTTATGTCTTTTAAGATACCGGGTGATTTCAAGTTCCCGGAGCAGGCCACGTTCGATAGAACCGGCGATCCCCGGGAGCATTTGCTGAGCTACCAGGCTAAGATGCAGGTTTTGGGGGTACGAGATCTGGTCATGTGCCGCGCTTTCTTGCCCACGTTGAAAGGGTCAGCACAAAGGTGGCTAGTGGCACAACCCTCGGGATCGATTCACAACTTTGAAGACCTGGCAGACCGCTTCATGAGCCATTATGCCGCTAATATCAAACCACAAAAAGACCTAACACACTTGGGCGACATTTGTCAAGATGAAGGCGAGTCCTTGAAAACCTATCTGGCCCGCTGGCAAAAAGAAATCCAGTCCATAGAGGAGGTCTAGGACCAGACGGCGCTCACCTTCTTCATCGAGTCCTTGCGGTCCGGCCAGCTATACCGAGACCTGAGGGACAATCGCCCGGCCACCTACGCAGAAACCATTCATATGACCAACAAGAGGGCCAACACGGAGCAGGCTATGAAGTATAAGCGGCAGCGCGAAGTCGGCGGATCCGCCAGCGGGAAGAGGACGCGAGCTGAAACCAAGGAGAGGCGCCCAGACGTAACTCGGCGACCCGAGGGCAGACGGCCGTACGACAGACCCGTCGTCCACGCTTATCAGCCGATTCCCGAACGTCCGGTCCATGAGATACAAACGGTTGCCCCGCCTCTGCCTCCGCCGACCGACGATCGCCCGACGAACGAAGAAATGGGTAAGGCCTCTAAGTATTGTCGTTATCATAAATCTTATACTCACAGCACAGAGGAATGCTTCTACCTGAAGAAGATCATGGAGGGTATCATTCAGCAAGGAACCCCGCCTCCTAATCAGTGGAGGCGGAGATCGGTCAATCGAGGGGATGAGGATCCCGCCGCCGTTGCCGAAAACAGTCGAGGCAAGCAGCCGACTCCCGAGGAGGAGGAGGCTCAGTGGCATCAGAAGCCGGTTATCAACATGATAGTCGGCGGGCCGGAAGGTGGTGACTCAACGAACACCAGAAAAGCCTGGGCCCACCAGTTATACGTCGGAACGGTGTACGAGCGCGAGGAGAACCCTAAAAAGGTGTGCCGAGAGCCCATTGTGTTTACCGACCGAGATTTACCAGCCGGTGAAACACCGCATCGAGATGCGTTGTTTATAGCTATGGACATCAATGGCGTTGTCGTTCGACGAATCCTGGTGGACACCGGAAGCAGCGTCAATGTGCTGTACCTAGAAACCTTCATCAAAATGGGAATGACTCGGGAACAGCTGAGTCCTGTCAAAACTCCCCTCGCCGGTTTCACAGGGGACTCGGTGGAGGCGGAAGGATCGCTCACACTTCCAGTTGAGATCGACAGTTACCCAGACGTATAGAGACTCAGCATGAAGTTCATTGTGGTGAATCTGGCCTGTTCACATAATGCTATACTTGGCCGACCGGGTCTCGAGGATCTGGGAGCGCTGATTTCAATTGAGCATCTTTGTTTAAAATTCCGCACGCCAAACGGAATAGGCACGGTGCGCTGTGACCGTAAGGTCGCTCGCGACTGCTACCTACAGGCATGTAAGGGGATGGGAAAACGCGAGATACAGGTCCATGAGATCACCGAGAGGCCCCCAAAAAGGACGATAATACCACGTCCGGAGCCTGCCGTCGAGTTGGAAGAAGTCGAGATCGACTCCACGCAGCCGGACCGACGAGTCCGAATTGGAGTCGGCCTCCCCGAGGAAGTAAAGGAAGAAATTATAAAGGTGCTCCGGGAACACCGGATGGTCTTCGCCTGGTGCCCGGAGGACATGCCAAACGTAGACCGATCGATCATATCGCACAGACTCGCTGTGGATCCCGGGCATCGACCGGTTGTGCAGAAGAAGCGATACCTGGCCAACGACCGAAGAGAATTTGTGAAGAAGGAAGTGAGCACGCTACTCGCAGCCGGACACGTCCGCGAAGTTAAGTACCTAGAGTGGTTGGCGAATGTGGTCCTTGTACCCAAGCCCCCGGCGTGGCGGATGTGCGTGGACTATACCAACCTTAATAAGACCTGCCCAAAAGATCCGTTCCCCTTACCTCGGATCGATCAACTAGTCGACGAGACGGCGGGGTCGGCGCTGTTGAGCTTTATGGACGCCTTTAGGGGGTAGCATCAGATATTCATGCACTCGGCGGAAGAAGAAAAGACCGCGTTTCTGACACCGGACGGAGTTTATTGTTACCGAGTCATGCCGTTTGGGCTCAAGAACGCCGGAGCCACGTATACCCGAATGGTGGCCCGATTGTTTCAGCACCTGTTGGGAAAATCGATGGCCGCGTACGTCGACGACATGCTCGTCAAGAGCCGAGAGGAGAGCAAACAC